GTTATTTCAATATATAACCAACATAAAAGTTATTATTGAAATATTTTAGGTTCTTCTTTTCATACTAAGCCTGCTAAATCTGGTGTGACTGTTAGACTTACAATTCATCTCAATTCGGCTGCCAAGTTTTCATTGGCAAAGCTTGATCTGCATTTAAGTTTCATGGAGTTTACCACTTACTGATGTATGTCCTCAATCCCAGGTTATGCCACACCTTAAAATTCCAAACTGAAGTGAGCACCTCCCTGAATCATTCCCCTTTGACCTTGGCGCTCACATGGACAAAACCAGCTCATCTTTTTCAGAAGAATTTGCTTTGAAGCGGAAGCAACATCGGTTTCGCCATGACCTTGGTTCACGTTAAGTAAATTCACCTCCTCTTGTTGCAACTCCGTTGTGTTCCCTTTGAGCTCAAAGGTCAGTGGCTGCCCACACTGACCGGCATCGCCTCAGTTTGGGGCCGACTTTGCAGCTGATTCGCACAAGGCTGACGATCACTGTTAGAAATGTTTCCAAAATCATGACGACTGGTTTGTATTCCAGAAATTTCAACTGCAAATGAAGTCTCCAGCCTGGCCGGCCTGGCTTAGTGGTTGAGCATCGACCTCTGAACCTGGAGGTCATGGTTCGATTCCTGCTCAGGGCACAGGCCCAGATTGTGGGCTCGATCCCCAGCGTGACGCGTGCAGGAGGCAGCCGATCCATGATTCTCTCTCATGGATATTTCTCTCTCTCCTTCCCCCTCCCTTCCTCTCTGAAATCAACAACAAAAACATCTTTTAAAAATAAATAAGTAAAAAAAATAAATAAATAAAAATAAAAATAAATAAGTAAATGAGCCCTCCTGCCTCCCTGTGCAGCGGGAGCACAAACCATCTTTGAAAGGAGGTTTGTAAGCCCAGGCCGCGCTCATTCACAGGCTGCGACACTGGGGAGGGAGCACGCCGCCCTGGCCCTCGATTAGCCCACATTTGGCAAGTGGTCCCGTCATTTCAAGAAATTCCTGAGTTGGCGATCATGTCGACATAAATCTCCTGGAGCTCTTCCATGACCCAGCGGACAGGCGCTGGCAAGCACGGCCACATTCCCTGGCTTCCATCTCTTTCTGTCGTTCTGTGGATGGATGAAGGGCCGGAGCACTGGGACACAGGAACCGAACGAGTTTAAACTCTGTCCAGGGCCCTCTTCATGGTGTCGCAAAGACTCCACGCTCCCATCTCTTGGCCAGGGCTGGCGCCGTCTCTGTCTGCGCTGCCAGTCTGGTCTTGGCCTGGGAGGCGGCTCGCACCGAGCAGCCCAGCGGCCTTCATTCATTCGCATCTTGTTCCGTACTGGAGTTGATTACTTGATTAGCTGCACTTTAGATCAGTTTATCGCTTTTTAAAAACTTGAATGCAGCCTGCAGACTGAAGGGGCCCAGGTTCGATTCCGGTCAAGGGCATGTACCTTGGTTGTGACACAACCCTGATGGGGAGTGTGCAGGAGGCAGCTGATCAATGTTTCTCTCTCATCGATGTTTCTAACTCTCTATTCCTCTCCCTTCCTCTCTGTAAAAATGTCAATAAAATATATTTAAAAATAAACAAATAAAAATAAAATAAAACCGAAATGGGGTTCAAGCAGTCGGAAAATGCATGTATGTTCTGAGTGCTTACTGTGGGCCTGACATGTTTCCCATGAACGTGGATTTTCTTCACCGACCACGAGTTGCGGGCCCGGCTGCTCTCTGACGGGGCCGGTTGCTAGTTTCCTCCGGTGCCCAGTCCGGTGTCGCCCTGGCCGTGGTTCTTGTGCCACTTACCTCTGGTCTTGCTCAAGTCACCGCACGAGCAAGGGCAGCCTCCCCCAGCGGCGCCTCCCCTGAGCCGGAGCCGCGGGCTGGGAGCGGGAACGCTGCTGACGTGGTCAAGGCCTCCGCTGGCCCATCTCTCCGCGGGACCTGAGCCCCGGAGGTTCGCACAGCCGCTGAGCTGTGCGTGTGTGAAGCGAACACCCGCGGGTGCGACGCTGGCACACAGGTTAGAGACGCCCGAGCCGCAGAACAAGGCCAGAGCTTCTCGGACACCGGCCCCCACTGAGCGGGCCAGCG